CCATCAACCTTCCTTCGCCTTGCTCCACCCAATCCTCCCAAAGCACAGTAGAAGGCAGACTTGCAAAATAAGATCTATGTATTACAAATATGAAAATAAACTATACAAAGTGGTCTGCTGCTGACACTGTATACCTAATAAGACTACTTTGTGATTATAAGGAAAACTAAAGTAAATTCTGTGCTTGGACTCACTTGGTTCCTATTAAGCACAATCTCTTAATGGCCTTTTTATCTCTTCCACTGCTTATTGTGATTGTTTTTTCCTCATAATAATAATAATAATAAAAAAAAACATCCTTTAGAAAACTGTTTAGAAATGGTCTAAATGTGCTGGTTATAATCACGCGGTTTGAAAAAAATGGTTTGAGTACTATCTAACTGATCCATTCTCCTCACACTGTGGACATAAACGCTGCAATACCGTCATTACAGCAGACGTCGCACCACGCAACTGTAACGTCAGCTGCCTTTCCTGGTAATTTGAGATTCACTTGCCTTCTACAGCACTTTGGGTTCGACAAACCTGACAGTAACTGACACGAAAAGGTGATCTGCACATCCCAGCCACCTCATGCCTTGTGCACAGAAACTGAAATAGGCTTGTATATATTTTGTGCTACTTGCTACAAGTGGTGCGAGGAAAATGCCGTAAAAAGTGTTTCATCTTTTTAAAAGGTTTAAAAATATGATCTTGTGGCTTAAAGCACAGAAAAGCTCAGTTAAAATCATGCAAAGTGTCCGTAAATGCCCAAGAAACTCAATGTGACTCTTCAGCGTAAACGGACCTTTGACTCGACTCTAAATGGAGCTAGGGATTTCTTTGACAGGAACTAGTACACTCTACCTGTCACACGCTGATATGTTATGATCTACGTGTGCATGTGGCAGAGTGGCTGGGTTGTGGTCTCGAGCTGTCAACCGCTACAGAATAGTGGACACAAACAGCCAGGAACCAGGATCACTCTGTAGAGATTTGGAGGTCATACAAACACAATGATATTAAAATGCTTTTAGGGGCCACGAGCATCGACTGATGTTTTCCAAATACATTTAATTCAGGACAAAAGCGACATTCATGATTGTAAACAGTGTAAAGCATTTTGTAGAGGAGGTCTAATCATGAATTACTCATTCGAGAATCAATAAATACAATATTTATGGCATTAGGTAAAACATGCCAGCCGTCATCTGGCCTACACATCGCAGGCTGAACATGTTACCGTCACTCTCTATCATTAAAGATATCATTAGGACTACATCTGCCCAATTATAGCAGTTCCTAGTGATTAATTACCAGGATTTTAATTATCTTAACAAGGATTAAGGCCTTAACAGATCAGAAGGATTCCCTTCTGACTTGTTTCACTTTAGTTGTTAATTAATTTTCTTGCAAAAGAGCTGTGGAAATCATTAGCATAGCTAAGCTGAGTTTCATTTAAAAGCCGGTAAGAAAGGAAGGAAATGGGGCTGGTATAGAAATTCTCTTGAGGATTAGCTTTAAGTGTGGGGGCATAGCTGAGAGGTTAAGATGTGGCCCTAGGTACATTAAGTTCAGCTGTGTATGCCCCGACAGCTACAGCTGTGAGCTGGTCTCTGACTGTTTGATCCGAGGGCCGCAGACATACAGGCCATTGAAGGGATGAAAAGTTCCATCTTTTGTGTCCTGGCCAGGAGGGGTTTTATGACTGATGGAAAAAAGTGAGAGTGTGAAGGAGAAAGAAGATAGAAAGAGGAAAGAGAGGGGAATGGCCTCCTTCATTTATCCCACTGCCCCCATTCATGTCTCTAAGGTGGCTTAAACTCTAATATTCCAGAGTGCACCTCTGTCATGCTCCTCCTGGTTCACTGCTGACAGTGTGGTCCTTCAAAGGGTCAGGACAGATTTAAAG